TATTCAAGACTTTCTTTTCTTCTAAAGAAGACATTTCCATCCCTAAAATATACTTGTCAAGTTTTTCTTTATTTTCTGATGAAGTATTAAAATGTAATTCATTACTTGATGAACTATCATTCAAAGTTGAAGAATCTTCTTTATAAGTTTCTTTTAATATCACTTCTCTAAGATACTGTGCTTTAGCAACAATCTGAGCAACTAACTTGTCCGTTACCATTTCATTCGATTTTTCTTCTTGAAACTCTGATTGGTTGGTCTTGAAAACAGATCTATACATATCATATGTATCAATCTCTCCAAATTTTTTAAATTTCTTCTCTTTAGTATTCTCTGCATCGTTGTAAGATTTCATTGGCATTTTTCTATTGTACTGTAAATTGTCAATAGGAAATAATAAAATATCTCTATCTTCTTCTCTGTCGTATTTACATGTTCCCATTTGTATATTGGAATAATGAAATAATTTTGTCAAATATGTTAATTGTAAAGAAACATATAGTTTTCCTATTTTATGACCATCGTTACTCAATATCGGAATACACTGAGAATAATATTTGCATGAAAATATCTTAGATAATTCTCCTATATATCCTCTACCAATAATCTCATAAATATTCTCTGCAAATATTACTATTTCTATTGCATTACAATTTTTAATATAATCTGCAAAAAGTGTTGCATTAGTTTTTATAGCATATACTTCAGTTACATCCTCATTTGTTCTTTCTGTTTCTGTAGTACTATCTTTTGGTCTAAGAAGAAAACAAAAAAATTGTTATATACAACCACAAAAAAACAATTAGATTTAATCAATATAAGCTTAGATATTGTTTTTGATATAAATAGATATTATTTAATTATATTTAATTTGTCATAAAACAACTTGCTTTAAAAAAAGTAGGAGTATTATAAATCACCTGAACTTTGCATTATCATGTTCGCCCCACCAAGAAGCCACTACTGTAACATCACCAGGATTTGTTCTAATCCAAAGGACCTCACTGATAACGAGTCTTAGACTGCCATGAACCTTGCCTTCTACTAATGGTGGTAAAGATCTATTAAATTTCGTTTGTGAATCCATTTGTTTCCTCCAAGGCGATGCATAATTAATCTTTCACCTATCAGAAGTGTCAGTGGATTTAAATTAAAAATGTGCTTGATAATTATGATAATCATGCAAGTGCAACAATATAACTCAATAGGACAGCCAAGATAATTGACGAACGCACAAATTTCTAAGACATATAAGAATAAGTTCAATCAATAGATTTGTTGATAATTATACAGTTTAGCACAATCACCTCAAAAATCAATAAAATTAGGCTCATTCGATGCGTTTTTGTATGAAATGAAAGAATCTGATAGAAATAAGCGTCGCTCTATCCTGTGAATCAAGATATTAAGCGTTAAAGTTGACGATTATTGAGGTTAGGATAATTATTTAGAACAGCCTCCTCCCTATCCCAGTTAATATCTTAATATAAATATACTCCTTCGACGCGTTTTTACTCAAAACAAAAGAATCTGGCAAAAAAACGCGGCAGTCGATCTCGTGAATTGAGTTATTAAGCGTTAAAGTTAGAGACTTTAGAGGTTAAAATATCTGTCATTCTGACTCGATATAGCACTATATATATACTGCTTTAATTGCACAAATTCACTGCTTTAAAAAACAAATTTATTACTTTAAAAGCACAAATTCACTGCTTTAAAAACAAATTTATTGTTTTAAAAATACAAATTTACTGTTAACTCAAAGAATTTGCTTAAAGCAGCAAATTTTTGTTTGTAAAGCAGTGTATTTAGGATCGTAAAGCAGTGAATTTGTGTTTATGAAACAGAGAATTTGTGTAATACAAAACGTATATATAGCGCTGTATCGAGTCGGGAGGACAAGTATCTTAACCTCTAAAGTCTCCAACTTTAACGCTTAATATCTCAGTTCGTGAGGCAGAGCGACGCTTACTTCTGCTAGATTCTTTCGTTTCATGCAAAAACGCATCGAATAAGCTTAATTTTATTGATTTTTGAGGTGATTGTGCTAAACTATATAATTACCGATTTGTTTTCTATTGCTAAAATGTTTGCAATAGTTAGAAAACAAGAAATGTACATATGTACATACGTATTAAAATTGAATTGTCTTCTTCCACTTTTCCTCCTTTTCCCTCTCTAGGCCATACAGACTTCCATGTTCACAGCATACATAGTAGCGCAACTCTCTGTCGCAACCTTTGTTATTAATGTTGGTCAAAATGGAGTGCGCATGTGTGAAATAAGTAAGGGTCCGATTACATGGAGCGCGATACGCGATACAGTAATTAATGGCTCCTGCCAACCAATGAACATACAATATATTAGAAGTTGTAAGCTTATTGGCTACACATTTACCACGCGGCAAACGTTTCCGCGTCCAGTGAGCAAAAGCCATAAGAGTGAAATCACACAGAATGCTTTCCATCTACGACACAGCGATCACCTCATCCTTGTTTAACATTGGCGAACAATAAGGATATAACGATTTGCCAGAAGTGTCACGCCGTATCACTTCTGTGTCTCTTATTGGATAATAATTTTATACGTAAATATTATACAATTTTTTACATTAAAATGATCCAAATGACTTATGTACGTACTTATTATTTCGTATCCTATGTGTAAAATGGAAATACTCTAAAACGCCAACCGAAAATTGACAACCATAACCAGAGTGTTATGATTATGCTTTTCTGCTTAGAGAGCTTATAATCAGAGTGGCGTCATATGAGAGATGACGTCATATTTTAGCGAAATTCTGTGAGAGAGAAAGAGATATATGATCTCAGTCTATCCAACAGACTGTTAGTTTTAGTTAGAGTTAGGTGCAACAGTATTGAACGACATAGATACGTAAAGGTACATTGATAAAAATAAAATTATCAAAATTATTTTAGAAATATAGTTGGATGTACAATACCGTTTTTGTAATAATTCATTAAAAAAAAGATATGTTATGAAAATAATTTTCGAAAGACACAGAACGCCGAATTGAATTGGTTAAAGAGTATAAATGGCAAATATAAAAATTGGACACCGTCAAAAAACTCATCTGTATGTGAGGTAAAATAATTTATTCTTTATAAATAATGTATTTAAAATATTAAAATAAAAATGTAACATAAAATATACACAGATTAATTATAATATCTGAAGTGTCTTGGCACTAAGTATATGTATAGTCATCACATTGGCTACGAATTTAATTCTTTCTCTTTTTATCATAATCTTTTCAATTCTATATTCATTGCATTGTGAGTCTAAATCAAATAATATGATAATTACGATATTTAATATATAATATTTTATGAAATGGTATATTTTTTTGAATTTTTTATTTCTTTTATATTATTACAGATGCATTTTGCTCCTAAAATGTAGGAACAGAGAATGGATAATAAAGCGCATTTAATAGCGCAAATAATGTGCAATAAATAACGTTTTGTATAAAGTAATGTGCAATATTACAAAATGTATAATATTGCAATAGTACAAAATAAATGAAATTTTGTAATAAATAATATATGTAAAAATTTTATTATTTTATATACAATATTTATTTATTATCATTTTTTAATTTGTCACAATTTTTGAACATTTTTTTAGTATGAATTCAAAATTTAGAAAATAATGTGTTTAAAAAACTGGAGGGAATGGCTAAAACATGGCGGACCAATCACAAGTGATACCCGTATGGCGTCACTCTGATTATAGGCTCTCTATTTCTGGTGTGTCTAATCGTGCCGTAGCGTGTCGTTGAAAAGCAGCGCATTCGACGCTATGTCGATGTGTGTCGCTTAAAAGCCTTGATGGAAAGCACCCACAGTGTGTAATAGGACTGCGGAATAGAGAATGCGTTATTGAAACAACCACTCAGCGCTATTCCGCATTGATGTTGCGAAATAGCGAGTGAGTCATTGTTCTTGTAATAAACCGTCATATTTTGAGAGGTTAAAATAATTTGATGTTGATTGATATAATGGAATTGCGTAATGTCGAGACGAATGAAGCAAAATGACAAAATCTGAGTGTATAAATATAGATAAAAAAAACAATGATGCATTACGTGCGATTTCAATGTGTTCTTTTCCGCACTTTTTTATCACATCAGTTTTGTATGCTATGTTCGCACGATGCGAAAAAATGATAGTAAATGCGTTAAAGCAGTTCAAAAAATTGTTGAGATTGTAAATATTAATTGTATAACATTAAACACTACAACAGTGATAATTGTTTTTACAATTTAAAAAATTATATTTCATTTTAATAAGTAAATTATTAACATAAAGTTAGTAATTTTCAAATTATATTTATGCTGGATACATCTTTGACATTATATGAACATAGCACACAAAACTTGCGTGATGGAAAAGTGCGGAAGAAGCGCTGATTGGTTACTTCAATAACGCATTCTGTATTCCGCAGTCCTATTCCGGACCGTGTGATTTCATCCTAAAAATGTCTGGATGACTCATAAATGTTTTTAATGGTACTTCATAACTCTTCATACGAAATACAAACGATTCCATATATAAACTTTTGAATTTAGATCCGGTACATGGTCCAAAAAAAAATGATTAATTGTAATTAATAAAATGTCTCACAAACCTTTTTATTTGAACTTCAAAACTCTTCATACGAAATACAAACGATTTAAAATGATAATTTTAACTGGAGGTTTTGTTACGTACATACGAACCAAGCGTCAATTTTGATGACGTGACCTATTTTGACGCTTAAAATGAGCGTCGAGCGCCTGCATGAAAAGATACCTTTAAAAGAACATACTTTAATTGACTTGCGTGCTGACAGATTTCTTAACCTGAATAGTCGTCTTTAATAATTAATATCTCGGTTCGCGAGGCAGAATGACATTTATTTCTGCCAGATTTCGTTTAATGTAAAAATGCGAATAAGCCTAATTTAATTGATTTTTAAGGTGCGAGAGGCTAAACTGATAATTATCATTAAATTAATCTGTAACAGTTTACAGAAATATAATCTGTACACTTAAATATATAAGACTTAGGACTACCGATTACCGACTCATTGTAGAATCAGCGTTATAAATATTATTTCTACTATTATTTCTACTATTGTTAATAATTAGAGTTACTCCGAAATGGAAGATACGAGCAAACAATATTTAAGCAATAATGAAGATCATAAGTACAGAATATAAACTATGTATTAATGAAATTCTAGCTATGGCTGCTATACGACATACTTTGCAAAGAGAAGTATTTACTCTTAGCGATGAAAAATTACTCAGCGTATGCTACGTTAGTAAAGCTTACAAGAAGAAAAAGATGAGTTTTCTGTGTCTGGCTACGACAACAGATACTCCAGGATCTCTTATATTGTATCAAGTAAAGAAGAATGATAAAAATGTTTATAAAAAGAAACAATCATGGCCTCTAAACGATATACAAATCATAGATGGTGTAAAAAATGATTCAATGGACATAGAGATGCATATTGACAAAGTTTACAAATGGTCATCCACTACTGTACAAGAAAGGCGAACGTTTATTAGTAATTTATATACTTATTCGTGTAGCTTAACTCAGAGGCCAGAATTTAAAAATATTCCTAAAGAGTGGCTGATTGATCCAACCGCATTGAAGGAAACTGATAGTATCACATTTACACCTGGTATGTCTTTATTGTTCAATTTAATGAGTTTGCGATTGCTAATGTCTTTTTTTATATAATTATATTCATAAGAAAATTTGTTAATGATTGGTTTTTCTATTTAATAATATAACAATTTTTAGATCTTTTGGCATCACCTATTAGTTCAGATTATCAACCCATTACTGAAAAAGAAGCTGCTGACTTAAAACAAATGATGGAAAATTGTGAATACGCTGTTTCCAACGCTGAGCTTTTTATGGAAACTCTTTCAAAAGATCTATCTATTCTTGATGGGGTAAAATAAATACTTTTTGTATAGAAAACTTATTGTAGAAATATAAGTAATACATATAATACATGAAAGAAATTTAAGTAGAAATTTAAGTATGCAAGTTAATATCGCAATATTAATAGTTTATTAAATTTTTCCTTAGGAAAATGTACATTCAGTCTTAGCATCAGAACAGAGAGTAACACAACTGATGAATAGTATAGACGCAGCAATAATCGAAGCTTCTATCGTAGAAACGCGATTAGCGGCATATGATGAAGCTTTAGGAAGAATAAGAGAAGTTATGGCTCGAGTTGGTCAAAAAAATCAAGCTATACATACAGCGAATAATAATGCTAAGCTTTTGTTGGATAAGTTAAATCTAGTAATTGTAAGTAAAGGAGAACAAAATATAATTATGAAATTAATTTTTTTATTATTAGGGTACTGATATTCAGATACGATCCTGGAGGCGCGCGCAGGGAACCGATGCATATGAGTGAGTTGGATGCTCACTGAAATAAGATAGCAATATTTCTCAGAAAGACCCGAAGCCCACCAATCTATCTGAAGACACGGTGTCTTAGCGCTAAACCAAGCGTAGCGATATCTATCTTAGTTAGCGGATAGCCTACTCAATGTAAATAGAGCACGGAGATTTTTTCTGTATTGATTTGAGATTGCATGAAAACGCTTTCCTTCAAGATGCCGAAATCTTTATAGGCAAAATTGGTCTCAATTGAAATTGATAAAAATATTTATGATGTTTTAAGAAAGCCGGACCAAATTTATTATAAGTGTCATTTTACCTACTTGTATAAGATAACTTTATATTCTGTAAATCGACACGAGTAAAGTAGTATAAACAAACAATATTTACATAGATCGAAATTATTAGCAGATTCTGTCTCCACAGCTATTGACACTGCAAAGGCAGTAATTTGCCAATAATTTTGATTTATACAAATGTTGTTTATGTTGTTTGTTATTTTGCTCGTGTCGATTTATAGAATATGAAGTTATATAAATAGAACAACGCTTACAATAAAGTCAGTCCGGCTTTGTAAAAACATAAATATTTTTGTCAATTTCAATTGAGGCCAATTTTTCTTCTAAAGATTTCAGCATTTTGAAGAAAAGCGTTCTCACTTGATCTCGAATTAATATAGAAAAATTCTCCGCGGTCCATTTACATTGAGTAGGCCGTGCACCAACCGAGATATATTCGGATAGAGTATAGTAGTACAGTCAGTAAGCTTCGAATCTCCTCAAGAAATGTTGCTATCTCATTTCAGTGAGCGACTCACTCGCACACAGCGGTTCTCCACACTCGCACCCCAGGATCATATTCGAACATCCGCACCATGATAGAATTAATAAGGTGAAACATTTCCGTGGATGCACGGTAGAAAAACGAATTTAGGTAATGTTTGATTGGTTGTTACAGTATAACCAGCGCTATTATATATAGCGATATTATATAGAATTATATAGAAAAGTGCATATTGGGGAACATTTGATTGGTTATTTCTAGTATTGTTATCATTATTATGTGCAATATTTCACCTTATTAAGAATTGACAGGAGAGACTATGGAAACCTCTAGTTGAAGACGAATTTCTTTATGCTCAAATTATGGCTAAAATACTGAATGAATCGCGTTTTAATTGTGATATTTGTAATGGTAAAATAAAAAATTAGAAAAGACTCTTGAAGGCTCGTACAGAGCGATGTTTTTTTAGAAAATAGACAAAATAAAAATTGTTCTGATATCTCCTGATGTGTACTATAGTGCAGTTCAGGTATACATAATTTTATTATTAAGAAATTTTCAAGAATCAATTTGCAAAATCCTGCTCTGTACAAGCTTCATAAAAAAAGAAGCCAAAAATGTTTTATGATGTAATATTACTTCTTGGAGATAAAATATCAGTATAAAAACAAGTATCTGCATTGTAAATAAGGAGTATACCATTTTATTCATTAAAATGTTTTTAAGAATGAAACTGCAAAATTTGATTCTTTAACAGGTTTTGTAGTTAAAATATAAACCAAAACGAGTTTCATATTAAAAAATATTTTTTCTACGAGATGATATATGGTAGAGTCTAATAGTGTGCAAATATGTAGCTGCACACATACAAATGAAGTGCAAATGAATTAGCTTGTCACTCCTGTCGATCCTTAATTCTATCATGATCCATACCTTACTTAATTATAAAATGATAGAAGCTTGAGATATCTGTATTGGGAGATATAATTCTAAATGTTCCTAAATATATGTTTGTAGATTGTTTTCTTATTAAATTATTGTTATGACTTTCTTTAAATCTAAGGATTTCAATTACAAATGCATTAAATAAATTTTATTTTTTAATAAATCGTTGTTTACATCACGATTTTCAAAATAATACTTCAATGTTGTTCATTTTTTAATTTTCTCTCTTTCTCTAAATAATATTTTCATAATTCAACTATATTAGATAGCCTTACTTTATATTAAAAATAATAGATTTTATTATATTATACGATAAATAACTTAAGGGGATCCTAAAGTGAAGCTCGAATTCTGACGAGGTCACCAGAAGTCGCTGTTTTACAGCATATCGACATATCTTTATATCATATATATTACCACATCAATATCTCACGCAACTGTGATACATGCAATTGCACGTTTGTGTCAATTTTCATATAATAAATTCGTCGCAATAAAGTGTCTATGTACAAGGGGAATACCAAGTAATGTCGGGGATTTTAATGCGCATTTTATAGGCTGTTCTTAAGCGAAAAAAAAAAAACGATACGTATCCGGTCGTTTTAGTCATTGGCCATAGTTTCGAAGAAATCGATTTTTTAAATAATTATTGTAATAATTTGAAAAACGTATTGTATAGAAAAATATCAATATCTTTATAAATTTATTTCATCGAATGTTAAGAATAAAATTACATCTAAATCATTCTGAATTTCGGATGATGATTTTGAACAGCAAGTACACCGCGCGCCAATCAAAATATTGCTCGCTTCAGTAAGCATTCGATTCGCTCGTGCGCGCAGCGATTCTCCGAACTAAAGAAGTATTTCATAAAATGATAGAAATGTTTATGATGAAATTGCATATGCTAATAGAGTGGAAAATGTGATTATTGATGCTGGAACAAAACAATATCTTTGTCGCTTTCAAAACAAAATATAATTGATTGGAATATAATTGTGGTCCAATTTTATACAACTAGCTGAAAAAGTAAAAATTTCGAAATTTTCTGAAAGAGCAGAGATTATTGAAAATAAAATTGCGGAATTTGTAGCAGACATTCGTAATTTATATAATACGTTTCAAATAAATTAATATATAAATATGGCAATTACTATTTTGGATAATAATTCATTAATTGTCAATTGTCAGAGTAATAAAGTGGTGATGAAATATTAGAATTAATCGTGTTAATATCTTCTTGTGTGATGCAGTCTTCCGCCAAAAGTCCACGCTTCATCTTCTTCGAAATCATTTCTGCCACAGTTTTTCGCAATTTTCTTTCCAATAATTCTCTGCTTTTTCAGAAAACTTGGAATTTTCTGCTTTTTCAGCTAGTTGTAATTTATATAAAATTTGAAGCCCCTACCACAAATTTTCAGCCCATTAGTTACATCTTATTTTGAAAGCGATAAAGATGTTGTTTTGCCCAGTATATCAATAATCACATTTTTCACTCTAATTAGTATATGTGTGATTTCATTATGAACATTTCTATTGTTTTCCATGCTAGTAAATTTTTTTATAGAAACACTTCTTCAGTTCGAAGAATTGCTGCGCGCGAGTGAGTCGAATGCTTACTGAAGTAAGCAACATTTCGACTGGAGCGCGGTCTACTTGCTACATTCAGAATCATCATTCAGATTCAGAATCATCCACCCAGATGTAATTTTATTCTTAACATTCGATAAAATAAAATAAAATTTATATAGATATATAAATTTATATTGATATTTTTCTACATAGTACGTTTTTTAAATTAACCAAATTATATTTGATAGGCTCTCGAAATTCAAACTATAATAAATATTAATTAACGGGCCATGAGAGCATACACAGCGCGGTATTTGAAGCGCAATACATAAAATATATTTATTATAATTTTATATTACTGTACTAACATTATATATTTGACTTCCACATGAATAATATTTTAAAATAATATGTCTATAATTTATTTCTATATATTGTATCATAATCGCATTGCGTTTTGAATTGTGATCTGCAAAGACGAAGGTTATCCAACGAAGAAAATTAATTAAGGCATTTCTCAATTAAAAAGTAGGGATAGGCTCATTCTCTGTTGAACGCAATGACCATCTTCAACATGTGCGGGGGGATTAGAATATTGGAAATTATATGGATTGCTGATGATGGTTTAAAATAAATCGAAATGTTCAAGAAATTGGTTATCAACAAGTACAGTAATGTAAAATTATAGTAAATATATTTTACGTATTGCGCTCCAAGTACCGCGCTGTGTATGCTCATTGTTTGTTAATTAATATTTATTATTGTTTTTTAAATTATTACAATAATTATTTAAAAAATCGATTTCTTCGAAACTATGGACCAATGGTTGAAACGGCCGGACACGTTCTTTCGTTTTTTTTTTCGCTCCAGAACTGTCTATAAAAAACGCATCAAAATCTCCTACACTGTCACCTGTTCCCCTTGTAAATCTAATTCCAAGAATTTGATGTTGTTTGTTCATGCGAATTTGTGTCTGTGGATCACAATTTCATAAGTCATATTGCAAAGCTTTTATATCAAGCAAATGTTATGATATTAACTGTTCTAACGTCATATGGACTAAGAAATGAACTAATAAAGATTTCAATTTAAACAGTTTTTTTTGTCCTCGACATAAACTTCACCTCACAGACACTTATTAATGCATACGCTTTATCCTGGAAAATGATTTTCAAACATTTATAAACTAGGGAAAAAGTAATTGTTATACAAAAATTATTGCGTTTAGTCGGTAATACAGACGACTTTTAGGATCCTCTCAAGATTTAAATATTAGGTGTAGTAAAAAGAAATCCATTATTTTTCCAATAGATGATTTTAGTAATCTGTATGTCGTCTACGCGTGATACAGATTACTAAAGTCATCTATTGGAAAAATAATGGATTTCTTTTTACTACACCTAATATATGTAAAATATCTCTACATTAATTTGATAAAGAAACATTTATAAAAGATATGGCATAACTTTTTAATCAGAATTTTCTATCAGATCTCATTTTAGTTTGTTGAAAAATACGAACCTATATAATTTTTTTCTTTTTAAGTTGCAATTAGATATTCCTGCAACGTACCAACATACCTTGAATGAAGCCGAACTTCCAGGCGAAAGAGAAGAGCTTGGCCTTGCTGGTGTAGCCCTCTTAAAAGCTATCACAGCACCTCTTCCACCGGGCTTAGACAAACTAAGTGCTGTTACTGAACAAAAAAGGCGATTGGATAAGCTTAAAGCAAAATTCTCAGTCATTGTTGCTAGACATTTAAACAATCTTTTTATACACTTGGTAATTTCATAATTGTTTTTAATATTTCATCTCTTTTTTTAAAAATAATATTGGATTGGAGAAAAAAATTCTGCGGAATTTTGTTAGCTCAAAATTATATACAGAATGTATTTGTTGCGAAATTTTCGTCTATCTGGTGAGAAAGTTTAAAGTTTTTCTTAAAATATGTCTTGAAAACTAACGTGGTTCTAATATTAAAACATATAAAAAGTAAGAGCATAAAAACGTTTAATGTTTTAATTAATGTAATAATAATTAAATATCACAAATTATAACTTGTGCTGTGGTTTTTTATGCTCTTATTTTTTATATGTTTTTCTTAAAAGTTTGTTTTTAGAAAATGTTCCTATGATTTTTTGTTATCGAGTTATACGCGCATTAAATAAAAGAGCATTCTGCTTTTGATCGCTCATAACTCCATTAAAAATCATCGTATCATAATTAATAAAACATTCTTGAAGTTGAAACGTTGCTCTATCAAGTGATGTAACTGCTAATTTTTCTTTAAATAGAATATATGTATAGGTGCTTAAGATAAATCCAGATATAAATTGAATTTTCCATTAAATATGACTTTAGTGGATGACTGTTGGTAAGTCACTGACGCTCAGTAAGTCAGATGTCAGGAACGTGTATAACTTCAAAATGTCAGAATTAATGAGATCAAGTGCGGAATACAAAGAGCGGTGATAATTGAAGCGCTTCGCGCTGGATGTTCGCCGACCGAAATTATTCGGTTTTTCGGATACCTGTGATCGACTGTTTACGACATCGCGCAAAAATAGAAGTGCAGATGCGAAGAAGTCCGAAGAAAGTTCTGCTAACCCAGCGAGGCAGAGTCTGGATCAGATTCCAGAGAGAAGATTGCAAGGACATCGACTGTCATTCAAAATGTTACGCTCGTCGTGAGTTATTCGCTATGCACAACCGAATTGTCAACCCGAGTGAACATGCACGCTCAAATCGCGGAAACAACACGTAAATTATAAAAAGGCTCTTTATTAACACTCGCACAAAGGCAACAGCTCATAAGTTACAGCGAATAATGTTTTAAAGGAAACGGATACATTGACAGTTCAAAACCCGATCCAACTCTAACGGCGTCTCCTTGGAGCAACCACCTGTCAATTCTTCTCACTCGTGATACGATTCAGCGCGTAGAAAATCGAAGCAGCGCGGATATAACACTGCTCCCTCTTTCCTTGTCGTTCCGACAATCATAACTTCAACGTCCAACAAATATTTCCAAACAGCTTCACGCTTACTCTGCGCTGTTGCACAGATTACCGAGCCCCCGTCTCATGATCACCGCCTATCTCCCCTACCGGGAGGCTTCCAAACAAGACTTCTTTCGATTGCTTTACCAGAGCCACCAGAGCTCTCTAGACTCCTTTTGACTCTTTCCTGGACACCTTGAGTCCTTGATTCTTTTTTTGGACAGAGGATGGGGAATTTAGTTTTTACCGCGGTAAAAACCTCTGCCTCCAATCCCTGCCTCAGCATTTATCCTCCGTTCCGCGGGAAAAACCACTGCTCAAAAGCGAGGCGGACTTCTAAAAAAAAAATATTTCTCCTAAATAAAGATTATGCGTTTCGCGGGTTTCCTCCGTGTCCAGATCCATTCTTGGAATGTCAACGTTTCGTGAACAGTCCACTTCATCAGAGCGGGGAGCAACCTGATACTGAGCTGTTCCTCCGAGCCGTTCCTTTTATATTACACTTTTATATTACTACTTGTTGGAGTAGTAGGGAGAAAGAAGAGAATTGTGTGGTTGGGGGGGGGAGAGGTGAGGAAATAGGTCGGTCTTCAATAACCGGGAGAATGGTTTTTCATATTTTATTTATGTTGTAGCCATTATCTCTATTTAGATAGGGTATTTTTGTATCTCTATGGCTTTTTTTTACTTTCTTAACAACATTACGTCATATTTTCTTGGAAAGTATGACGTAAACAACATTACGTCATACTTTCCAAGAAAATATGACGTAATGTTGTTAAGAAAGTAAAAAAAAGCCATAGAGATACAAAAACATCCTAAAAATCTAAATAGATATAATGGCTACAACATAAATAAAATATGGAAAACTATTTTCCCAGTTATTGAAGACTGATCAATTTCCACTACCTCTCTCTCTCCCTCCTAATCATAATTCTCTTCTTTCTTTTTCCCCACTACTCCAACAAGCGTAATATAAAAGGAACGGCCCGGAGGAATAGCTCAGTATCAGGCTGATCTTCGCTCTGATAAAGTGGACTGCAAGATTCATGAAACATTAGCATTCCAAGAAGGGATCTGGACATGGAGGAAATTCGCGAAACACATAATCTTTATGAAAGCATCCGTGGAAGCCTCAAGAATACATTTCTCCTAAAGTTTTTTTTTTCATTTATTATTTTCTTATGTGTCAATCCCGACCTCTCTTCTACTGCCGCCAGAATCGCAGAACGAAATCTCTCTCTCCATGATGTGCGAATGAGCTCGAATCTTATACTAGTACTGAACTCTATGAGTAAACGCAGTAATTAGTTTATGCATAAATAGCTTACCTAATTCTTAAATACTTTGAATATTCTTTCTTAAAAGAAATTCTTAAATACTCTTTTTTTTATGTACGGGCTCCGGAAGACCTAACCTAACTTTCTTCTAATTGTCTCTCCGCATCAGGAGCCAACCTGTCCGTATGAACCACTTTTCTCCTATGTCTAGATGTTCTACGGATACCAAAGACTACGTCACTCAGCTTGTTGACTATAGTGAAAGGCCCTTCCTAGTTACTCTGTAGCTTAAGATTCCTACCCTTTTTTTTACGAGGATTAAAAAACCAAACTTTCTGTCCTTCACGAAACTGTATCTGTTTAGCCTTCTGATCGTACCAGACCTTCATGCGTTCGGATCTAATTTTCATCCGGTCATGAATTTGACTGTGAATCTGCTTAAGTTTTTCCCTTACTTTCCAATGTATCCTCCTATCGACCCTTTTTCCTCTATCTCCAGTGGATTTCGTCTTAACAAACTACGAGTAACCTGAGGCGTCTCGACCGAAACATACTTCAGCGGGGGACACTGGCTGCCTCATGTCTCGAAGACCTATAAAAACAATAAAAACATTGAGATCCAACGATCCAATCCTGTTGATTTCCGGAAACGAACTTCGTTAAATAGCCCATAATCGTCTGTTGCTGACGCTCTCAAAAAAGGAGAAACCATCACGAAGGAAGTTTATCTCTGGATTCTGAAGACTGTAGTGAAGCCACGATGGAAACTACAGCCTTCGGAAGGCTGTACATTTTTTAACAAGACGGCGCACAAGCTCACACAAACCATTTAGTGCAAAATTGGTTTTTTAACACCGTGAAACGCGTTTTGGTCCAAAGAATTCTATCCTTCCAGATTTAAACCTCCTAGATTTCCTTTGAGGCGTTATTGAAAGGATGTCTAAGTCCAGGTACCCCAATGTGGCAACTCTTCAAACTGTGGCAACTCCACTATTGAGGCAGTGATATATGAATTTAAACAAGAAGCAGTTAAAGAGAGCGTACTCGCGTTTTAGATAAAGGATTGAGGCAGTGATCGCAGTAAATGAGGGTTATATTGAGTAATAGAACTCAGAGAAGATTCAAGCGACGTACAAAACAATGTTTGTGTATTTTCAAGTTTTTTCCGAATAAAATGACGATTTTAATAAACTGTTTGTTTTGTACAGATTTAGCTGACGCACCATATACATTTGAGCTAAAAATGTGATATTACTGTTCCTTTTTCATTGCGCATAAGGATAGTAATATCAATTTTTTTATTTCTATTTATTTATTTAAAAAATTAGTATGATACTATTCGATAAATTAACGTTTCAGCTTTAAGAATCTATTTTTTAATTGCAGATGATTGTACGATGATTTTTAATCGAGTTTAATGAGCAATCAAAATCAGAATGCTCCTTTTTATTTAACTCAAAAACAAAAAATTGTAAAAACATTTTAAAAAACAATTTTGTAAGGAAAACTCCAAACTTTCACGATGTAGATAGTCGAAAATTTTCGCAATTTTTTTTTGGCACGTAACAGATCCACAAAGTGAGAAATAAAAGTTTCCTTTTCTTTAACTCGTTTTCTATATACCGGGTGTTCCAGACCACCCGTACATCCCTTTTATCATCGCAGGGTAAGATCTAATCATGAAAGTGTTAAGACAAAAGTTATAGGGTTTAAAAAAGATCTATTCAAACTGATCTTATCAGTTTGATTTTAGGTCGCGCTAAGGTCAGGTCACGTCGATTTTTTAAAATGAAACACCCAATTTTTTATTCCAATATCTAATGGCTGATATCGAGAACTGATCTTTTCAAAATATTAATAAAATTATTTTTTATTGAGTACTTTTCGAGTTATAAGGCTTGAAAATTACAGTACCGCCAGCATTAGAATTACACAAGATGTTTGATTGACGGCCTAAAACCTCTTGAATATTGTTCAGGATTATATTTAGAATAACAAAATATATAGATACATATATATATTAAAAAATTGAAAAAAATATTTATAAATATATATAATATGATAGAGAACGCCAATGAACGATCAAAAATTTTAGATGTTTTAAATAATATGATACATATTCTTTGTTATTTAAGATATGATTGCGCGCCGAAACGTTCCGACATTCGCGTATATGAAATTAATTTATCTCAAATGTGACTATACGCCAAAACGTTCAGACTTTCAACACATTCAATCTGAGACGCTAGTAATCCTCCCTAAATTAAGTTAAAATAACTGCAAAGAATTTCAACAACGAAGGGGCTTAAGTTAGCGCGAAAAACAGTGCGAAATTTAAATTATATAAATTTAAATTATTTATACAGTTATAGTTTTAATTTGTGACAATAAAGAATTTCTTGTAATTTTAAGTTTGAACAATTTTGTTACAGTGGAGTTGAAGAATTTACAATTCTTTCCATCCGATCAAGGAACTGGTGTGAATGTAACGAAAATTATTTTTGTCTTCGTCCTTGCATCATTGTAGCAAGAATAAGAAACGACAAAACAGAGATCGATTGCGTATCATCGCTGAATATTCTCACTTCTCGCACTTTCATCTCATGTAAAAAAATACGCGCGATTGGCTATGAGCATAGTGAAAATACAATATCCCTCACGAGAGCAAAAATCACAAATGTGAATGCGAAATGCAAGTGATACATAATCAAAGTGATACATAACTTTTGTTGTGACGCACGTAAGCACACATGTATATGTATAATTTATAACAGAATATAATTTATTTCAACATTAGGATATTTATGAACCGTATATTATTCAAATAATTAACATAATAAAATTACCTATATGATCAAGTGGATCTTAGTGTCCAATAATATTTTTAAGTGAATTTTATAATATCTTACAATTTCATAATTTTCGTTTGGACTGGAAATTTTAAAATTTACGCAAAAAATATTATAAAACATGAAGATTTGCTTTGACCATCTCATTATCTTAGTTATTTAAATAATTTATATATTTATATACTTAATATATTTATATACTAATCTATATAATTTTCTAAATGTATTGTCTGAGATTTTAAGTAGATCTTGAATATCCCGTAATAGTCTTCTTATTAAATTCAAATGTCTTGCGAATTTTATTATTTTTGTTGTCATTTTCCTCTATACAAAGCATAAAAATAATTTCCATTACTGGAAATCAATAATCTATAAATAGAATGGCTTTTAATATTATAAATTTCAACTAATTTTGACCAATCTCGATACGCTTTAACACCATTTGATATAATTTGACATAGAATTTCTTGTCGAGTAATGTCACGTGAGAAATGTCGCATTTCCACTATGATGAAAACTACCCAATCAAGTGAGAGCTCACTTTTATCATTTATACTAGGTTTCGAGATACACAATCGATCCCCAGATGATGATCACATAATGTAACATAGCTTATTATATTGATAAATCCGTTTTACCGCTTTTGTATATTATACTGAAGATGGCTCGAATTTGAGCCAAAACATATGTTTTATGTAAACATTGACTAAGAATATTACAATAAATAATTTAAATTTATAGAATTTAAATTGCGCACTGTTTTCCGCGCTGACTCTTTAAGCCCGTTTGTTGTTGAACTTTTATTTTGATTTCGAGGAGTCCGTTAATTGTTTGTAAAAAAACCTTATTGCGAAAAATATTACCTCAGCCAGGATTCAAACCTGGGACCTCTCAACTTTCCAGGGCGAGTATCTTAGCCAACTCGACACTAAAGCTTCAGAAATATTCTTCGCAATACTGATAGTGAGAAAACGGCAGCATGTTTTAAAATTAACAAATGACCGTGTAAATGAGAACATAAATATGTATGATAAAGAACGCTAATGAATGGTTAAAGATTTTAGACGTCAAATAATACGATATATATGTTCTTTGTTGAATCGAAATATTTAAGATATGGTCGCGCGCCGAAACGTTCGGACATTCGCTTATATGAAATTAATTTATCTCAGATGTGACTGTGTGTCGAAACATTCGGACTTTCAACACATTCAATATACAAGGTGTCTCAGAACTCGCGTACCGCCCTTACCATCGCATTCTTCGTGAAGTTCTAAAACGAAAAAATTTTTTAATGCTCATGTGAAATAAATAACATTCTTTCATTAAAAAACGCTACGAATTAATTCCAACACCTAATATATATACCTACAGTAAATGAGAATAAATTAAAATGAATAGAAATTCATTTCGATATTTCCGAATTTGCATTTCTGATTTTTCAAATCCATTTGAATCCATGAATACATGTAAATTCAACACGGTGAATAGTTATTTCGTATTTTAATTCATGAATACATTCATATTTAACATGATGAATAGCGCATTTTGTATTTTAATTCATTTCAATCAAAAAATAATGTAATACGAACAGAAATTATTCAAATTCAACATGAATAACACATTTCGTATCCATTTCTATCCATTTGAGTCCAAAAATACTTATGTTGTAAATAAGCGCGCGCCATGAATACATCCTAGTTCAAAATTATAAATAAGAACAGTGTTGTTTGAATTCATTTCAATTAAAAAAAAAAATCAACATAATTTATAAATTGTGAATACATCATAGTTTAAAATTATGCAAGTACACACTTTTATTCAAATAAAAAAAGTTATGACGGAAATATGTAAGTTATGAATTTATATCCGAACATAATATTCAATAAGAATATTCCTATTTCGATCGAAATGAATAAAAAAATACCGTTATATTCATAAAGAATTATAAATGTTATTGTAAAATCAAAAGAATATTTATAGGAAATTTATTTTCAAGTCGTTTTATCCATTTCATGAACAGAAATCAATTTATGCCGTCAGATATCGATCTATTTCATCAATCCAGCTCCGAGCTCTAAACCACGAACATAAATTAAAATAAATTGCAATTTTTAATTAATTTCAATCCATTCTCGTTTTTATTTTATATATGTGTGTGTGTGTGTGTGTGTGTGTGTGTGTGTGTGTGTGTGTGTGTGTGTGTGTGTGTGTGTGTAATATCATAACAAGAATATTTTTATCAATTTCTAATCAAATTTTAGGGTAACGATATTGGAGATACATCTACTTCCATGACGGATTTAATATTACCGGCTCATCAAGGAGTTCATAACGAGCTCGTACCATATACTGAATTGATGCAGCTGTTAAGAGCATTAGACAATAAAGCCTTTGTACAGTTAACTAAGGTCTATACTGATACTATGAGTAAATTGTACAAGAGAGATCTGAAGCGCTTTTTCGAGGAAGCTAAAAATAAGCTCATTAACAAACGTCTACAAGGTAGAACAATAGAAGATTTTCTGCAGTAGAATTTCAATTAATAAATAAACAATAAATGAAATGATGAGCATTTAAAAGCCTTAATAGTTAGATTACAATTATTTTAACACTCTTCTACATATATCATTCTCCTATTATATATTAATAAGAAGGTACGTTTTAAGTAAACACATCGAGGTCTAGTGGTCAAAAGGGTGAAGATTTGCTTAATCCGGCGCCTATCTGTTTGCTGAGTGGTGAAATATGGACTCCAATGGACGAAGGAAATCTTTTAGATTCAGTCCTCAATTGTGTACTTTCGCAGATGCAGCCAGTATGTCTCGCCGAACAAGGTTTCTGTGTCTCATTTCTTCAATTGGATTCTGTTCTGTCGCCCTCCAAAGTAAGTACATTGGTAAATTTTTATTACAATTTTTTATAACTATGAATGTTTGTTGCTTTGTGCAGAGTAGCGAGATGGAAGAAGTAGAGAACGTTAACAACGGTGCAGCAAGTCCTGGGTCGGTAACTTCGACGGCAAGCAAACGACTGGAGCGTCAGGTAAACGAAGATGTTCGTGCGACTATGGCCGCGATATTCCCGTCATTGGAAACAGAATTGAACAACTTTATCAGTTTTCTGGACAAAATTGACAGCTTGTGAGTTGATCTTTGAAAATAATGATTTCTAAGGTTGCCAACAGACCTGGAAAGTCATGAAAATATAAATTGATTAGGGAAAACCCGGAAAAGTCATGAAAAATATGAAACAACCTGGAATTTCAGTTTATTGATTAAATTGCTCTATTTAATTTGTAATATTCCTACTTCAGTTTAAGACTATCAAATAGTTGGTGCACAGTTTGCTTGAACTAGAAATTGCAAAAATTTATACAAGAATAATATTAGACATTAATGATGATACGACCAAATTCACTCGTTTGTGTTGAACATTTCTCGGTTCATTTTAACTTAATAAAATTTAAGATTACATATTTCATATTGGTCATGAAAAATTCTCCACTATGTATCTTGAAAAGTAAAGAATTTCAAAATTCATTTTCTGTGGCAACCCTGGACTTCTGCATTTAAAATTATCCATTTTAAATAAAGGTTTCAATTATTATAATCTCTTTAATATACTCTTGTGTACACATTCCCACACCCCCCCCCCACACACACACACACACACACACACAGGGTGTCTCATAAATTTTTGCCAAGCGCTTTTGTGTAGATAGAGCGAACTAAATTGAGTCGAAAAGTCCTCTTTCATTTTGCAATTTTCGCAATGGTTAAGGGGATCCTAAAGAAGCTCGAACTCCGACGAAGTCACGTTACTAGAGGTCGCTGTTTTTCCAGCGCATGGTGAAAGGGATAACATAGTGTGTGCAATTTGCAAGCATCTCTTTCTCTGAATCTTCGCTGTCTCTGTCTATGAATGTCGATCAGAGACCAAGGCTGCCAACTGTGAAACGCTAAACATGAGGCGATATTCCGTTTTTATTTTAAAACTGTCTTAAATAATGCTCTAAGATGCTAACACAGTTTTCGGATTGATTTATAACATTTTAAGACTATACTTAAGACAGTCTTGAATGTAAGAATCGACTATGAATACCGACCTGCTTCACGTTGTGAAATTTATGTTTCTTTTTATAGAAAGAGAAACATAAAATGTGTTCTCTTTCTATAGAAAGAGAAACATAAAGTATATTAAACAAGGAAAGATTCAATACCAATTTCACGACGCCAAACAGACCAGTATTCATAGTCATTCTTGCATTTAAAATTGTCTTAAGTACAATCTTAAGATGTCATAAGTCAATCTCAGGACTGTATTAGCATCTTAAGAAACATTATTTAAGATAGTTTTAAAATAAAAACGGATTATGAATATCGCCCTATGTTTACACAATTGACAGTCTCTTAGTTTCTTATCGACATTCATAGACAGAGATAGTGGAGATTCAGAGAGAGATGCTTGCAAATTGCACATACCATATTATCTCTTTCACCATGAACGCATCGACATATTTTTATGTACTACCACACCAATATCTCACACAACCTATGATATACGCAGTCACACGTTCGTGTCAATTTTCGTATAACAAATTCGTCGCGATAAAGTCTAGATTTTATTCTAACAACTCGACGTTATTTTTTCGTGCAAACTACATGTTTATTACGTGGATTATTTTTTCTTAAGTGCAGATTGCAAAATTTTTGTATCAAGCAAATGTTGTTACGACTTAACAGCTTGAGACATGTTATACTAAGAAATAGTAAAAAATATCAATTTTGAAATTTTTGATCGTTCTCGATCATAAACTCCATTTCACACGTATTAATGCGTATACTTTAATTCTGAAAAGAATTTTCGAATCTGTGAAAGGAAAAAAAAGGATTTGTTATCCAAAAATTACATGATTTAGTACATACATTCGATAATACAGACGGCTTTAGGATCCTTTTAACTATTGCGAAAATTGCAAAATGGTAAAGGACATTTCGATTCAATTTAGTCCGCTCTACACAAAAATACTTGGCAAAAACTTACTCAGGGATACCTTGTATACAGGGTGCATCACCAAAATCCGGACAAATTTCAATTTAAATTTTCCATTATATTGTGCCTCCGCCAGAGATTGTTGTTGGCGTATGAGAAAGCCTGATGTTTCTAATAAATAGTCATATTCTCAAAATGAGCGCGATGTTGAAACCAAATGCGGAGTATAATTGAAGAGTCGCGATCATCGTAGATCTTTGCGCTGGGCGCTCAGCAACGGAAATAATTCGGTTCTTTGGATACCCGAGATCAATCGTTTATGACGTTGTGGCAAAATATACGGTTTTAGAACAGTCCAACGAAGGTTCCAGTATACCAGTGAGGAAGAGTCACTCGAAAGAACACACTGTGAGGACTCCCAGACCTCAAGTGTTGATTTCGGATGACCTAGACAATCGTTGCGCGTTCTGATGGATGTAATGAAGCCGTGGATGGAAACTGTGGCGTCCGGAAAGCCATATGTTTTTTAGCAGGATGGTGTACCGGCTCATACGAGTCATTTGATTCAAAATTGGATTTCAGACAACGTCGATATGTTTTGGTCCAAGGAATTTTGGCCTCCCAACAGCCCAGATTTAAATCCCTTGGACTACTACATATGGAGCGTAGTTGAAAGGATCACAAACAAGTCTCGGCATCCCAATGTGACGTCATTAAAAACCGCTATTACAGCGTGCGTGCGAACGCTTCAGACCGAGAATAGAAGCTGTCATTTAAGTTAATGAGGAATATATCGAATAATTGTGCTCTATAGGGATCCTTCAAATGCCATGTAAAAGGATTTTTTGTAATATTTAATTTTTCATTAAAAACATTTTGTTTAAAGAAATTGTTCGATTTGTCCGGATTTTGGTGACGCACCCTGTATATATATGTCTACGTATATGTTTGTATGCACTTGTGTGTATACTATTTACAGTTGGTGCATGTACGTATTAGTGCGTTTATCACAGCATGTCATGTCCGCTCAAGATACCGGCTCGTTTTTATCGATGACATTTGCATCCTCTCTGATCCACGTAAAACGAGCATTTGATAAATTCATGCAAGCGCAATTACAGTCCATATTGTGCGATACAAAAGTTAATCGTCGACACAAATGTGGTATATTACCATACATAGAAAACTTCGGACCATTTGCGAGAACCGCGGAGAAGATTTTCCGCAATTCTGATAGAAAGGTTGATCTCGAGAAATGGTACACGAAGCTTGTGAGTACTATGTTCGAGGCTATTGTTATTCACAGTCGAGAACATCATAAGACGCCTCAGGAAGTAATAAAAATGGGTAATTAGAAATTATAGTACATAATAAAATTATCTAATTTCAATTATTAATAATTATTGCACTTAATATGTCATACTTTTAGAAAATTTTCATCATCTCTATGATCTTCTCTCACAACTAAAAATTTCGATTTTGGACCACGAGCGGAAAGAAGCCAAACAAAAATATCAAGATGCGCTTCGCGCTTATGTTACGCAATATTTTGGACGACCTCTTGAAAAACTTAATGTAAATTGCCATATAAAAATACTTCACTGTAATTATAAGAATATTATTTAGGAATGTTTATTTTTCAGCTTTTTTTCGAAGGCGTACAAGCCAAGGTAGGCGCCGGTGTAAAAGAATCTGAAGTCAGTTATCAGATGGCCTTTAGCAAGCAAGAATTGCGACGCGTAGTGAAGGAATATCCGGCGAGAGAAGTTAAGAAAGGTTTGGAGAATTTGTATCGAAAAGTTGAAAAGCATCTATGTGAAGAGGAGAATTTGTTACAAGTAAGTAGAATATGTGAGAAATGATATTTTTGATGATTTAACGATAATTACAAGTCCTTATAAACATGAAATAATCCTTAAAAGCAAGAAAATTATTTTCTCGTCTTTATCTACTTTTTATATACTGCTAAATTCTTAATTTCCAGGTTGTTTGGCGCGAGATGCAAAATGAATTTATCGCGCAGTATAGAAACATTGAAGAACTAATACAACGCTGTTATCCAGACAGCAATGTAACACTCGAGTTTACCATACAGAATATTTTAGAATTTTTCTCGGAAATAGCGCGATCTCATTAAATCAAAATCTAATTTTCTCTTCACTATTACTCTATTTGACTAGTATTACTATAACATATTATATGAATTCTAATATCTATTGATATAAGAATAATTAGAGATACACTGGATCTTAAAATTATCGGATATCCGGCGTCAAATTATTTTCGGATGTATGATATTCGGATATCTTGCCGGATATCTGAAAAATGGCTTTCAAAAAGAAGAGCAGTAAGTAGGGAAATATAGCGATAATAATTTTATTTATCTTCCCAATGTGAAAATAAAAAGAGAAAAGAGAAAAGAGAAAGGAACTGTGCATGAAATTCAACTAAAATAAAATGACGCAAGCAATCAATATAAAAATCTCAACCGGATACCGGATATTTCCCGGATATCCGATACATCTTGAATAATAATTATAAATTTATATAGAGTTGTAATATAACTGTGTGCGTGCGTGCGTGTATACAGGATGTTTATAAAGTCTGTTACCACCCCTATATTTTAGAACCAGTTCAAAATTGTGAAAAACTATGAAATACATGTTCGATCATTTCGTTACTCTTTTAAAGGGATCGAGGAGGTTGCCCTTCTCCAAGGTGGCTTCAACTTAAAAATTTTAAATGGAAATCTCGCTATTGTAACGTATTATTTGAAAGGGCATAAAAAAAGAAAGTTTTTGGTTCAATGCAGAGATTGATATATTGACCTGTTCGGGAATTATCAAAGTTTGAAAAATTCTATTTGTTTTTATTTTCAATATGTATTGTATTTATTATTTGCAATAATTGTTCAAGATGGGCACTGTTCACTTTTTGACAATAAAATAATGAATCCATAGTGAAGAGTAACTGAGATCCAAATTGCAAAACTCTAAATTAACTGCGCATCCAAAGTGAACTGCCGATATCCAAAGCATTTTCGGCCAATTTACACTATGTATTGTTTTTCGCTGTGCGTAAGGTATGTGTTCGCGAAAATGTTATTGTATTTGGATTCTTATAATGCGCTCCGAATCACAACGGATTATAGTAGTTTGTAAAGACATCTTTTTTTTTATTACTCCCTAGTGTTTTGCACTGTTCTAAATTTAGGATATTCAACAAAAGAATTGGCTTAAATTAATGGTATGCAGGAGAAGTGTCTATTAATATTTCTTGAATCAATACCGTTATATACAGTAGAATCTCTCTAAATTTGGCCCCATGGAACGATAAGAGTGGAATACCAAAATTATAGAATACCCTCTCTATAGCACGAGTTTACCAATTACCACGTACTTGCGCGAATGCAGTTGCGCACGTTATCTATCAAAGTGTACTATAGTGTACAGACGGTGACAGATATGCCTTAACACTGAAATTATACGAATATTGGGATATTCAGAGCACGCTCTCCCAGTTCTCCGTCTCTAGATATTCGTACATATACATCATCTAGAGATGGAGAGCGTGCTCTAAATATGTTCTAATATTCGAATAATTTTAGGCGTTAAGGCATATCTGTCATCGTCTATACATAATCTTAATAGAACAAATCATATGTATCACATATTACGTATCACAAAACAATACATTACACAAATAGTTATACATAACCTGCATGAATTATATGCATTGCATACACTGTGAGAACCTAGTACGAATAGGTGCAGATTAGAATAGATCAGAATTTACAGTGATAGAAAGGGAATACGGACGTCGAGCTGTGAGCAACATCTAAAGGACAGAAATATCTTTTTATCCTCTTCTATCCTCTTTTGGCACACACGCAGAAAGAAGAAAACTCACTGAGCAGAACAGAAATATACAATACCTATAAGAGATGGAAAATAGAGCGTGAATGAGGCAAAACCGGAAACACATCGAAACACGAGCGCATTTTGTGAAGTGTAAAACTGAAATTTTATGTACATATAATAATGGATGCGTGCAGCAAAATCATTTTATGAATGTCTGCTGAAATAAGATCATTCTTCTAGATCTTAAAATATAATTTAATCAGCGCGAAGAAAACTTCCAACAATTGCGAAGTAAATATTTTGCTGAATACAGAGGAAGAGAGCCAATGAGATTTTATGAATAAATTAAAGGATAACAACAGAGATAAATACATAAATAGAAATAAAATTTATTTAAAAATAAATAGTATAAAAATGAATGAGCTTAAAAATAAGATTTGAGTATTAATTACCTTTTCAAAAGTATATTTAATTTTTTGTTAGATAAATAAGTATTTTATTATAGTGTATATATAATTTGTCAATTTAAATTCAAATATCAGTGACAACAGAATTACATAATAATGCAAAGTAATAAATCAATATACAATTACATTTTCTTTCTATCTTCATTTTCGCCCTCTTTTTCATTTTCATACATCGGTGTTTCAAAAAAATCAAAATTAAACAAAGAAATTTGTGCATAAGTAAATACACACACACACACACACACACACACATATACGCACACACAGAGCATATATAGGTCATGCCGCACACTACGGAAAATCCGAAGTAAATAGCGAAAGGAACAAAGACTTTGGTCCGTTTAGTCATCGCGTCGCCGAGCGTATATCAATCTCCGGCGTTCTCTCATCGCGTCCACGATAGATACACGTTATTGACACCGCGATTCAGTTGGCGCCATAATTCGTTTGATCTCGCGGCTGTTGTCTCAGATCGCCAATCGGGATTCGAGTTCGGGCATTTTCGGCGATCGGTGAAGGAAGTGGAAATCGTGGAAGTTCGACGAGACCAGTCAGTCAAAAATCGACCACAGTGCCGAATGTTTCGAGCTCGCTCGCGAATTTAATCTAAGTACGTTACGAATCTAAATGTGTTACGAAAAGATAGCTCAGGCAATTACACTCAAGGCGTTGCTACAGTAGCTCAAGATGTTTGCCCCAGGCGTAGCTACCGCGTGGCTCAGGATATTACTCCCACAGCGTCGCCACGAATCCGGGCATCTGTCCTTTAAACGTTCCGAGTGTAATTCGTTCGTAAAAAACGTAAATTATGAATATTTTTCATAACAAGATTTTATTAAGCGGTACTAAGCTTTGGTATTGCAAGATTGTTTCTTTTCATATTCGATATACTGAGGAGGATATTGTAACACTGCACATAAAACTTGTAAGTACAGAAACTCGAGTGTATTAATGAATACGCGATTATAAGTGCGCGCGTTATGAAAAATGGATTGTACCGAAACGGAGATAAATATACGTTTAAACGACATCTTATCTATTGTGGTGTCATCTCAATATTCCTGACGCGTCCTGACGCGAAAATTAAAACTACGGTGCAACCACGAAAGTGCTTGTGCCGATATACACAACATTATGGTGCCTCCTGTGAGGTATTCTTCACACACACACACGCAAACAAAGACGAGATTATGTTATATGGATCAAGGTCGGCCTGCTTTATATCCAGGACGGCCTGCTCCATACGGTTAAAACGGATTTCCAATAGCGGTGCGGCCAAGTAAATGTAAGGATGCGATTACATGGAGTGCAGTACGCGGTATAGTAACTAATAGTAACTAACTAGGCAACTAAGAAACCGCGTATCACGTCCCACCTATTTCTTTCGCTAATATTACATGAAGCGCGGTTTGCGGCATGGGCTAGTAACAAACTCACATTACTATACACTGTTATGAACTTTTTAATTGAATTAATTGATTTAAACGTAATTATTAACTAAATCTGTTTAAAAAATAAGAGTATCGATAAAGTGTGCATAAAATTAAGTTAATATATTTTAAAAAATTCATACCAATATAAGTTTGTCATTAGCCCGCAAACTGCGCGTAAACCACACTCCATATAATATCAGCGAAAGAAATAGGCAATGCGTGATACGCGGTTTTCTAGTTAGTTACTATTAGTTACTGTACCGCGTATCGTGCATATTCTATTCTATTCTTCGAGTTGGCCCTCGCCACTGATAAACGGCGGCGACTAAAGCCAGACCGGAGATCAGAGCCGAAACCTGAAACAGCCAGAGGGAACCCTCTGGAGGGAGGTGAGGGGATTAAACCCCCCTCACCCCTGGATTCGCGGACAAAACTTTTAGATTCAACGATTTCAGGCATTGATCAGTCGACACAAGGTGTCCTTGAGGAGGATCCTTCAGCACACAATGGATATCGATAGGAGAGAATGGGAAGTGCTTTTTGAGGTAGACTCGGAATCTAGCGGATCTACCTATGCATTCAACGCAATAAAAAATAATATGATTAATGTCTTACCTGTAATACCCGCAGAAACATGCGGGCGAATCTGTCATGTCCTTCCGATGCAGGCTGTATGCAAGGTTATAATGATTAGAGTGTATCCTAGAAATAACAACAATTTCTTCCTTTTTAAGCGATTTATTAAAAAACCATGGTTTAGATGAATTGTTTCTGTAGAAATAATCGTACAGTTGCCCCTTATATAATAACTTACTAGTCAAATTACCACATGAGCGTACGTACAAACAAGCACCGTAGCCAACACCGTTCAAAATTTGTGAAGCTAGATGTCGCCTTCAGCTAATAATTTACGGTCAAATGATATCCGACCCATCGTTCCTAAACGTCGCGCAAATTCTATCCAATTCATATACACGTTCTGTAGGATGGATTCGTCCCACTGCAATTTACACCGCCACATCTTGCATTATTTTCTTCACGTATAACACGATAGGCTAACAAGCCCATTGGATCAAATATTTTTACGATCTCCGCCAGAACGTTTCGCTTCGTACAATCTCTTCCACAATCTCGATAGTGTGAGCCGTATAATCTAGTTCATCGCTTCGCTCCACGTTACTCCTAACGTTTTTAGCGAACGATTGTTATCTACGTCTAACAAAAACTCTGCATGTAGCACATTGGCAGTTAAATCATCAAGAATCCATTCGACGCCCACTGTCATACAACAAACTCGCTTTTCGCCAATAACGCGATTATTTTGTCTCTGATTTTGCGCGTCTCTTCGATCGTCTCCGCGCCGGTCAGCAAATCGCCTACATATAAATGTGCCTTGGTAATTTTTGCTGCTCTAGGATAGCTGTGATACTTGTTATGCGAGTTTTTGTATAGTGCGGATTGCTAAAAATGACGCCGAGGAAACACCGAACGTAAGCGTATTAAGCTAGAATGTTTTTATTTCCCCGTCTATGCGGATCTCACAAGATCCTTTGATATTTTCGATCATCTTCATGCAATCGTACTTGTCAATACGTCTTTTCGATGTAAGGACATATTTATACGTGCAAAAACGAACTAAATGCGTGAATAGTTTATTTTATATCATAGACCTTATCATTAGCGCGTCGTTCAAGGATATATCGTTACTCGTTTTCGCATCGAACACTATTCTAACTTTTGTAGTGCTGCTCGAATCCTTAATCATCGTGTGATGCGGCATATAGAATCCGTTGTCTCCGGGATCGTTTATTACATGTGCTTTAACTTTAAGTGCTACTCGAGCATATTCGATCTTTAATGCCTAATCTGCGTTGAGTTTACGTTCTAACGACGTTAAACGTTTGAGCGCAACATTATGAAATTCATCAAGATCTGATTGATCTACGAAACGGCAAATGCACATCCAACCGTGTAACGTCCATCTAATCGCGGGAAACAGTTTCCATGAAATATGCTTCGCATTGAATTTCTTCGTCTGATTTCAGCTTATCTCGAGCGATTTCTTTGATTTTCCAAAATTATTCTACTTGCTTCTCTAAGCTAGTTAAATGACATGTAGCGGAGTCCGACGTATCTTGCGCCGATGCTTCCCCCGCGAGCACCCCAGTCTAATCGCGTCTTCTGTTATTATAAATCATGGTCCTCTTGCGACAAATCAATCTGTCCGACAGAAAATAGCGACCGAGTAAGAGATCGACAGGACGTGGTTTATGAAATTCCGGGTCGGCTAGCCTAATATTTTGAAGTAACTTAAGTGAATTTCACGGGAATGTCACAGATGGAGTCAAATCTGTAATGGTCGGGACCATGTCAGCGTTTTGCTGAAATCATTATGAAATGATTAAATCACCTATACCATTCTCTTTGATTCGGTTCTCGTAGCATTGATCGCATCAATCGGTATCGACTGCTTGGTCACCGACACATTCAGGTACCTCATTATGGTCTCAGAAATAAAATTTGCTGTAGCGCACGTGTCTAACAACGCTCGAGCTTTAATATTCCGTCTGGAATATAAACTAACGTGCTTGTTAATAATTGGGACACGCAGTGAAACATCGATGCGAGATTCATTTCTCTATCGTCGGATGATTCAAGTTGTCAATTGGATTGTGAAATTTTAATATGGGAGGCTTCGGACATCTTCGCACGATTCTCGTCGTGCAAGAGCATATTATACCGTTTCCGAAACCTTCGGCCTTTCACACCGCGATCCGCAGACCGCCATTCTGTATATAAACTCGTATATTTCATGATCAGGTTTAGGGAACTCGTTCTTTTTTTAACGTCGCTTCTCATTTGTCCATCGCGACTCTCGGCAATTTATTTTCGAGTAAATATACTATCATTTCGGGACCGATTGTAACTTCTAAGATTTTTAATGACGCAGTATGCTGTTGAGCATCATTAGCAAGCTTCGTTAAATCATTCGTTTCTTTCTTTCCAGCGCAGGTAGATTTATTAATAACGAGAGATGTCGTGAAATCAGGATTCGCTTCACCTCGTAAGACCGCTCTAACAACATCCACGCGTTAGAGTATCTTATTCTGTCTATGGAAAAAATCCTTATTTTATTGGTGGCTTCACCCATAAATGACGGCTTCAGATAATGCAACTTATCGATATCTGACAAGATCGATTGAGTACCGATCATATTCGGAAACGCGTTTTTAAATGACAACCAACTCTCAAATTTGCTGTCAAATGTGGGCAGCGACGCATCCGGTAATTTTTTTTCCGTTTTGTACTTGCTATGGTGTTATCGATTCATTCTCATTGCTTCGCTTGATAAGTCATTACCGGCGTCCGATGTATCCGGATTTAATATGTTCTCGGCCCTGCCTGCGAGTGCATAAAATTCCTGTATGTTTTGTAAATTCGGCTGGATGATCGTCATTGGAGTCCAAGACCGCGAATTCATCATTATAATTTTCGTATGTATGATATAATTTAGTTAATCTGGTAATTTGCACTTTCAAAGACGTTTTTGTATGAAAAGCTTGAGTCTCATGGCCATGATTATATGATTTGTATAATATAAGGCGTATAATTTTGCTTATACCGTTTTTTTCCGAAATTCGAGGCTTTATTGTAAAAAACTGGTTATACATTTATGATTCAAAGTATTGTCCATCGCTGGCCACTACTTTCTCCCATCTTTCGGGCAGTATACGAATCCCGCGTCGAAAAAACTGGTCATCTTTTGAGGCGATCCACGAATCGATCCATTTTTTACTTCTTCATAAGACCGGAAGTGCTGGTCAGCCAGGTCGTGTGCCATTGATCGAAACAAGTGATAGTCAGAGGGAGCAACGTCTGGAGAATACGGCGGGTAGGACTTCCCATTTCAATGTTTCCAAGTATGTCTTGACCACTTTCGCAACATGGGGTCGAGCATTGTCATGCTGCAAAATCACTTTATCGTGTCTCTCGTTGTATTGCGGCCGTTTGTCTTTCAATGCTCGGCTCAAATGCATCAATTGCGTTTGATACTGATTGCCTGTGATTGTTTCAGTCGGTTTTAACAGCTCATAATATACTACGCCGAGCTGGTCCCACCAAATACAGAGCATGATCTTGAAGCCGTGAATATTCGGTTTGGAACGTCAACGTGGAAGCATGGCCGGGAACTCCCCATGATTTTCTGCGCTTGGGATTATCGTAATGAACCCATTTTTCGTCCCCAGTCACATCATTCCCATGGCTTTGAGACGTTTTGAAATGGCTGATTGAGTCACTCCTAATGATCGTGCCAATTCTTTTTGATTTTGACAAGAGTCTTGATCAAGTAATGCCTTTAATTCTGCATCTTCGAAAACCTTCTCTCTTCCACCGCTATGCTGGTCTTCGACGTGAAAACCACCGTTCTTGAAGCGTTGAAACCATTTACGACACGTTCTTTCACTAATAGCGGCTTCACCATAAATATTTTAGAGCATTCGATGAATCTCAGTCGCAGATTTCTTCATATTGAAGCAGAAAATTAAAACCTCCCGCAAATGACAAGAATTTGGCTCGTAAACTGACATTTTCAATCGAGAATAACTTTATGATGCAGACACAAATCCACTAATGTTTCTATGGGATTATGTTGACAGATGCCCAAGTTTATTGTGTGACGTCTATGATCTATTTATTTCGATCACCACTTACCGCTAAAGCCATCTATACGAAAAAGGTATAAGCAATGTTATACACCTAATAATTGTATCGAACGCATAGGGATACAAGCATGATCAGGAAAGAAGAAATAACTATGGCGGACATGTCAGACAAGTGTGGGGATGAAATTTGCGCATAATAATGGCTGATTGGACATGATTTTTTAACCACAACGCGTCAAAGCCGGTCATTGTTCTATTGTGCTTCCGTAACGCCATCAACCGCTATCAACATCTGATGAACTCAGGGCGACTGTTACCAACGCCGATTAACTTAATTCGATTAATTCAATCAGTATAATTACTATTATAGACCAAAGATTTTTATTACTTTTATCATAGTTAAGTATAGGAAGACAGAGAGAGATAGAAGTATTGAAAGTGTGCATTAATTTTGAAGAATTTTCAAAAGATGGCGTAACTAGTACTATCACAGAAGAAAAATTTTTTGCATCGTATTGTGAGGGATGACAAAAAATGGATACACAATAATCCAAAAAATCATGGTGCAGGCCAGACGAACCATCAACATCGATAGCAAAGCCGAATATTCATGGCGCCAAGCTCATGCTCTGTATTTGGTGGGATCAGGTGGATACAGTGTATTATGCTTCAACCCAACGAAACCATTATTGAGGAACAACCAACAACAGTTGATGCAATTGAACCGAGCATTGAAGTAAAAATGGCCAGATTACGCGAAAAAATACGATAAAGTAATTTTCCAGCACGCTCGGCCAGCACATGTTGCGAAACCGCCAAGGAAACGTTAGAAGCGCTTAACTGAGATGTCCTATCACACCTGCCATATTCTCCAGATATTTCCGATTACCTATTTCGATCGATGACTCATGGCCTGTCTGAGCGGCGCTTTCATTATGAAGATCAAAAATGGGTCAATTCGTGAAGCCTCAAAAAAATATGTCGTTCTTTTGACGTGGAATCCACCTATTATTAGAAAGATGGGAAAAAGTAGTGGCTAGCAATGGATAATATTTTGAATGATCAATTTGTAATCATTTTTTCACAATAAAGCCGTATTTTTATTAAAAAATCCCTTAAAATTAATGCACACTCCCAATATATCACGAAAAGATAAGATTGATAAAATTAAGAACGATATACAGTCTTGCTGTTGACTACACTGCTGATTGAGTTAGACCCATTTTCACAATTCATGATTAATTCTTAATCGAGGTTCAACTTGTTTCTCATTTTTTTCCAATTCTAAAATTGGAAAAAAACAATAAATAAATTGAACCTCAGTTATGAGTTAACCGTCAGTTGTGGAACTGGGCCTTAATTGTCGATTAAGTTAATTGGCGTTGGTAACAGTCGCTCTCGGAGAAGAACTAACGTTATTTTTCGTCATTTTGATATTAAAATAATGTCTTTAATGTCTTTTTGATGTCAAAATGACAGCAATGTTAGTTTTCTCTCTCTCTCTCTCTCTCTCTCTCTCTCTCTCTCTCTCTCTCTTCCTTCCTCTGCCTGGGAATATGTAGATTTATTGCGTCGCAACCATATACATATAGGACATTAGTTCTCTGCTAGACCACTTAAGGCATGACGATTATTCTCCGTTTCCATCACTTAACATAGAGCTTACGCTTCTTTTCGTATACGTTCTGTGATCGAACGACTTAAGGTGCGATTATACGGAGTATGGTCGGAGAAAGTCCATATGGTGCTTCTTCATCTCCTTCCTTTTCAAATAATTCCCCACTTAACAATGACTTCCACAATTTCCCATTATTGCCTTGTAAGAGCAACATTTGCAGCCCTGAGAATAATGTTAACTTCAACAATAACATATTCAAATGCCTAGATCCGCAAGGGGAACAGCCTTTATCAAAGATATTCAGACATCGTCTCTGGAAGTTCCTGTGAGGAACTCAAGAATAGAGGCTCTCAAGGCAAAAGATCGACAACTCCTCACACGCGCTCGAGCTTTAGCCACGCAAGTCCTGCTCTGAGCCAACACAGGAATAAGAGTAACCCCTTGTCGTCAGGCTGAATGATGGCCCTAGATATCAGATCTTGTTCGCCTAATGGAGGCTCACCATCGTTCTCAGGTAATGGGATTTTAACAATAACAACTCATCTAACGAACACTACTATAACAGCGAGCAATACAACAGAGAAAGCGAGCCTGAACCTGTAATGGATAACATCCAATTAATACTTTCTAACTTTATTAGACAAATAACTAACTTCATGCAGAACAATGTTAGATCTTCCTGAGATAATCATATGACAAGAGCACATACAACACGCAATTATTTGAACTCCTCACTTGGCGGCTCACAAACTTACTATCCAGGTCCTAACTGGTACCACCAATACAACTTCTTTACACAATAATACACAATAATGTACTCATTAAGACTTCTTTCACACAATACTATCGCTGGTTCTACTATAGTTTCTCGGAACTGCAGAGGGCTTCGTAACAAGCTTCCAGAATTTCACTCTCCGGATAATAACTTTGACATTTGGTGTATTCAAGAATCCAAACTCACCAACGACACGCCCCTATATTCCAAAACGTATAATTTTGTCAGAAAAGATATCAGCACTTCTGGACAAAGTGGCATCGTTATAGCTATCAAGAAGATACTAAAATATGATTCTTTAGATCTTTTCAGTCATTTCACGGTTGAATTGATGAGGATAAAAATTTATATCGATGTCTCTCCATTCACTATTATCAACCTCTATAGACACCCTGGCAAGAATATGCCACATTCTTTCAACAACTCTTTTTTTTTTATATTTTCGGCTTAACTAATTATTATGGGCGCTATTATTATGGGCGATTTTAATTCTCACAACGCAAAATAGGGATGCTCCTTAACGGACGCCGTAGGTAGACGTCTCTTTCACTGTAGACCAGCACAACCTCCTTCTGTAACGATAAAAATTCTACTCTTCTTAGTGACTCCTCTTAGTGACAATATTTCGATTATAGATTTAGTTATCGCAACACCTAACACATACATTCTCATAAACTGCATCACAAGCTCAGAGACTCTTACTAGCGATTATTACTTAATCATACTATGATTAAACTCTAAAGTTCAGCCTAGAACGCTGTTTCACGCTACAAAATTAAATTAGATGCTCAACAAGAAAACATACTCTATAGTAAGCTCATGAACAAGCCACTGTACTCTTCTTCACACGACAAAGGCGATCTATTATTTATTATAGATATGGAAAGTTATATTATAGAAGCTGTTTATTCCTATTCGTTAGTTATATTATAGAAGCTGTTTATTCCTTATTTCCACCAGATTCAAGATCTCCGGCCTCCAAGCCTGTACCTTAAGTACGTGCCTTCACCGTGGAATGCCAACAGACAGAAGACAAACGCAGGGACGCTAACAGGAAGTACTATCGCGTTTCTAGTTCAGAAAACTTTGACGCTTACAAACGCGAAGGAGTGTAGAGAATCTCGAGAAGGACTAAAAAACGCAAGTGGTGAGAATTCTGTCAGAGCTTCAGTGGCAAGACCCCTTCTACCCATTTATGGAATCTTGTCAAGGCTTTTAAAAATAGGCGTTCAATCTCGTTTCCTCGATCTATTGAGAATATCACGCACAAAACGTGGCGATTAGCAAATTGTATCCTCCCTCTTATCGCGCGCCCGATTTCTTGTAGATTCCAGAAATGGAGGTTAGAGATCTTAATTGCAACCAAGGCATCGTCTTTGATTTAAATAAATCTATTACAATGAAAATATTAACGCTCGCTATCAACTCAATGAAAAAAATCGCCTCCGAACTTGACCAAATCGACTATGTCACCATCAGGAACTTCCCTCAGGAATATTTGAAGGAACTTCTGGATATTCACAACGGAATATTTGAATCAGAGATCTTTCCGGAGGACTGGTCGCAATCTCTGGTCGTGCTTATTTCCAAGCTCAACAGGGAATTAGACCGATATCACTGCTATCCTGCCTATACAAAGTCTTGGAAAAAAATCATTTATTGGAGCTTGAAATGATGAGAGGAATCCAGATCTCTGCTTCCAACTAATCAACTTGGCTTTCGTCCTATGAGCTCCTCCACGGATAATTTGATGATCCTCACGAATTATACACAAGGCAGGTTCATCGACAATGCACCTACAGTCTGCGCTTTCTTAGACATTGAAGGAGCCTTTGACAACGTAATTCCTTCAATCCTTGTGGAGGACCTTTTCCAGCTCAGTATTCCTGCTAAAATTAGGAAATTTGTGTACAATCTCGCGGCTGAAAGGAAAATCTCATTCATTTGTGATGGAGAATTAAGAGATCCTTGGCTTTTTTTCCAAGGGCACTCCACAGGGCTCCACGCTTAGCCCCCTTCTGTTTAACCTATATTGCAAATATTAATGATTATTTACACGAAGATACATTACTTCTCCAATATGCAGACGACATCGTAATTTTCAGCACAAATCATGACATTGAGAGCAGCTCTTGATTTAGCGCTCTTTGAATAACCTACACGGATATCTAAGAAGCAAGGGACTCGATCTCTCACCCTCGAAATCGCGCTGGGTGCTATTCTCCAGGAAGAGATCTGATCCTTCGGATCTATCTCTCTCTATGACAACTCGATGATCCCTCAGACAACTTCTGTTACTTTTCTAGGAATTATCCTAGATTCTAAACTTAAAGGAACACTTAAAATTTTTAGTAAAAAAGGGACGTAACTTCACCAACATCCTAGCCATTCGCTGGAATGAAATGGGGCTCGCACCCCAGATTCCTTCTGTGTCTATATGAGCAATTTTTAGATCAGTTATTGAATACAGTTGCCAAATTTTTAGGATTACTCAAAGGTAATCAAAACGAATTTCAACAGCTAGAACAGCTGGTCAACAGGAACATTCGCATTGCCTTAGGGTACAGGAGATCGACGCTAATTAACATTCTTATGGTTGAAGCAAAGGAAATCCCGCTCGATCTAAGAGTTGAATACATGTTGTATAAATACATCTGCAGAGCTATGGCTAGGAGAGGCTCCCCCGTCTTTGAGAGCTTTGAATACATCGAATAAGTATACCTCGGCTAAAAGACAACAAACCCTCGGTGCTATTTCTATTCTTAAGCACTACATCACTCAAAAGTTTGTTCTCAAAATTCGAAGCTCAAATCACCCTCTGGTCTTTAATTATAACCTAGAAAGTTTCACCTATGTACAGGGTCCGGCAAAATGCCACATTTTGCACCGCCACTGTCCCCGAACCACTGAAGAGAGGGGGAGCGTAGTCGGTTGGTAGCTCGCGCCTTGCCATTTCAGTTGTCGTCATGAATTGGACGGGCGAGCATCGTGCCTTCGTTATCGAAACATTTATGAAAAGTAACGAATCTGTGATTACGACGCAAAGAACTTTTCGTACTCACTTCGCGCTTGGTAGACATGCTCCAGTTCCAGATCGCAAAACAATACTGTTGTGGGTTTCAAATTTTAGAGCTACAGGTTCAGTTTTAAAAAGAAAATCAACTGGTAGACCCAGAAGTGTTCGGACACCTGAAAATGTTGCAGATGTAAGAGAAGCAGTTGAACGATCTCCTAGCCGTGTATCGAAAAAAATGGTCGCCACTTGGACTCTGTAATTTTCAAAACTAAATAAAAACAAATGGCATAGCATAAATTTTCAGTTAATAAAAATAAAATCTAAATAGCATTTACAATGGTGTTTTTATTAAAGATTAAAATGTGGGAGATCATTTTGCCGGACCGTACATCAACTTGATGATTCTATGACATCTCTATTTAAACATCTCTATCTAATAACAAGATATGCCAGACTCGCTTTCGGGAACTTTCCTCTATACATCTCAAAAGGTCCGCTGGTATTCACTGACGGTTTTAAATCCGAAAATGGAGCTTCGGTTGGCGCCAGCGTTTATTCTAAAGAACTTAACTACTATATTAAAGACAAACTAACCCCAAAAATCTGTCTTTTCGGCGGAGGCTTGGACGATACTTCAAGCTGTTCTCCTCAATGAAGATTGATGCTGCGACACCGCTACTATATTTTCGGATTCGCTCAGCGTGTTACGAGCTATCTCATTGCATCAACGTAAGGATTCTAACTACCTAGTTTACGAGATCAAAGATCAACTCTGCAGACTCACTCGTCACGGATTCACTATCAACCTTGTATGGATCCTGGGATTCCTGGCAACGAGAGAGCTGATAGTTTGACAAGAGAAGCTGCCCTTCGCGGTCATCGACCCAAATTCAGAGTGTCTTATCAAGATCTCCTGATCTTATTCAACGACTCGTTGAAGACTAAACTCCAAACTTACCTAGATCACTCTTTCTCCTATTAGGTGTACATTCTGTCAAAAAAGTACCGGGAATTGATCATTTAAAAAGCCCGCTTAAAGGAATTGTCAAAATTCTTTTTGTCGCTAAGTTGGCATAACTGTCCTCTATACTGACGCGGAGTTGGAGTGCCATCTGTCATTTAATGTGATTATAGTGCTCGATTTTATCAGTTCATCTCAAGTGTGTTTTGCGATTTTTACAATGAATGAAAAGATCGAACAAAGAATTTGTCTCAAATTTTGTATTGCAAATGGAATTTCGTGTGCCGAATCGCTGAAGATGTTACAGAAGGCTTACGGTGAATCGACTTTATCAAAAACACGTTCATATGAATGGTACAGTGCATTGAAAAGCGATCGAGATGTGGTGAAAAACCACGTCAAAGTCGATCAAAAGTCAAAGTGATGTTAACTGTTTTCTTTGATTGTCGTGGTGTTGTGCACTCGGAATTTTTGCCAGAAGGTCAGACGGTAAATAAAGAATATTATCT